TGTCCTAGTCTGTTCTTCATTGCTGTGACAAAACACTCTGACCAATACCAACTTGGGGAGGAAAGGGTTTATTTGTCTTACATCTTCCAGGTCATAATTCATCAGGGAGCTCAGGGTAGGAACTCTGGACAGGAAATTGGAGGTGGACCTGGAGCCCAGGCCATGAAGAACGCTGCTTACTGGCTTGCTCCCCTGATCTGTGCTCAGCCTGCTTTCTTATACAATCCAGGACCACCACCTGCCCAGGGATGGCACCACCCACAGTGGGCTGGGCCCTCCCACATCACTCAACAATCAAGAAAATACCCCAGAGACATGGCCACAGGCCAGGCCATTGGAACCAGTTGGAAGCCATTGGAAGCTCCCTCTACCCAAGTATGTCAAGTTTACAACTAAAGCTATCCAGCACAGAGACACTGTCTCAAAAAAAAAAGCAATTTTTTTTTTTTATCAAATTGCCTGGTTAGACATACCTTTACTGCCAAACTGACTTATCAATAGATTGAGTAGAATGACCATAGTATTGGAACATTATGAGCAATTTTATAAATATTTTGAAATTTTTATATATATATATATATATATATACTAAAACAATCCATACCTTCATCTTGGAAAAACATCCAATCCTGCGGGCTTCAATCTTTTTCTCCATTTCTCCCATTTTGTTCTGATCACGCCCAGACACTTATGCTTTAAATCCTGATATCCTATTGATACCTTTCCAAGAAAACAGAAAGTTTTATTAACCAAAGTGTAACTAGTTGTTTTGCAAATAAAACTCTTGGGGCTGCTGAGATTGCCCAGTGGGTAAAGTAATGGTTTCGCAAGCTTGAGGGCCTGAGTTTGAATCCTCTGCAGCCAAGTAAAAAGCCAGGCATGGCAAACATGACTGTAACCTCAACCCTGAGAGAGCACAGGCAAATGGGTTTCTGAGTGTGCAGGCCTGCCAGTCTAGCCAAATCAGCTACCTCCAGGTTCAGAGAAGAGACTCTGAAAAAATAAGGTGGGGGCTTGAGAGATGGTTCAGTGGCTAAGAGCACTGGCTACTCTTGCAGAGGACCCAAGTTCAATTCCTAGCACCACATGACTGCTAACAACTGTCTATAACTTCAGTTCCAGAGGATACTAAGCCCTCTTCTGGCCTCTGCAGGCTTTGCATAACATGGGTGCACTTACATACGTGCAGACAAAACACTCATATACATAAAATAAAAATAAACAACTAAATAGATAATCATTTTTAAAAGGTGGAGAGCGATACAGAAAAGCATCCAATGTGCAAAAGCCTCAACACATGTGTACCCTTGTCCACATGCACCCACACACATGTGCACACATAAACATGTATACACACAAACTTTTGAACATGAACAATGTAAGTAGAACCATGTGTATTATAAAAAATACCTCAGAAGATTTTTATTCTGACCTTGAGAATACCAGTGTAAAACAAGACTCAGTTATTGGATTTCTACTGAAAAAGTCATTTTAAATAACTAATGAGACTAACGCTAGTCTCCAAGTTTGTTATGCTCTGATTGTAAACTAAGGACAATGCGGTTAAAATAAAGTTTTTCATTTCTTTGGCCAAAATAAAGAAGATGCAGATGATCTCCCCTGGACTCACTTGAGAACTCCTGCTTTTAAGCACACAAAAACTCTTGTTTCTGTTTGTGCTAGAAATCTGTTTCAGCGAGTCTACACCCGCTATTTGGCCAGCTTTCCTCTTCAACGTCTCTGCATTCCAAGACTTCCCTGGAGTCTCAAGGAGGGAAACACTTTCTGGGGCACTGTTGATTCACAGAAGCCTAGGGAGACATGGAATTTTAATCATGAAAATAGCCTTAGTAAGAACAACAAATAATCTTACAACTCCAAATTTTAGAGTGTAAAGTTTAAGAAAAGAACAGATGTAAGTGGAGACATATGCATGTACTCAGTATAGATGCACTTATATCTCTCTGTATGACTGGTATATAGATATAAATATTTATACATGATGTAGAAGGGTGACTTTAACTCTACTTGTACTAGTGTCATCAAACTTTTATCTATTTTGTATCTTGAAAGTAGGATATTTTGCAACAAAATCAAAGCATTTTCATTTCATATCTATTCTAGCAAATGTATTTCAACATAACAGTGTGATTCCTTCATGCCGTCTTCAGCAAGTCACCCAGGATGCCACTAAGTTCTTTAAACATTTGAGTCTTTTACCAGATCTCGGAATCCCTGTCGCCACTGAGCACTTACGAGTGAGCTTAGCTCCCTTCACTCTCTCTCCCACTTACAGCAAATATTTTTATTGAATCCTTGCTATGTGCTTGTCATCCTCGGAAGCTAAGAACAAGGCTTGTCTTATGGAAATGTGGAGTCATTGGAGAAGTCCCAGTCACTGGGGAAGGTGACTTGGACGCAGATCCCTAAGAACCTATGCTTCTCCTGGGAAATATAAAATTTCTAAATAATATACTCTGGAGTAGAACAAGGCAGTATTTTCTGAAGTACAACTTGGTTGTCATGAAAATCGTGGAGAAAATCCATAGACTATGAATGGTAACTGTAGGGACCCTCTTCAGAATTCTGAATGGACTTAAAAATGAAATCCCCAGACCCCTGCATAAAATTTAAGATCCACTTAACTCTAGTAAAAGTATGGGACAGTGATTTCAGCTGGGCGTGATGGCGCACGCCTTTGATCTCCACCTTTGGGAGGCAGAGGCAGGCAGATCTCTGTAAGTATGAGACCAGCCTAGCCTTCAAAGGGAACTCCAGGCCAGCTGGGGCTATGGGGAGACTCTGTCTCCAAAAAGAAAAAGAAAGAAAATAAAAGTGGGATGGAGGGAATGAAACAGAAAAGCAGAGAGAATGAGGGAGGAAGGGAGGGAGGGAAGAGAGAAAGATGAAAGAAGGAAGGAAGGAAGGAAGGAAGGAAGGAAGGAAGGAAGGAAGAGGAGGGAAGGAAGGAAGGAAGGAAGGAAGGAAGGAAGGAAGGGAGAAAATAAAACAACTAATTTGGGGAAAACTGGTAGACTGCGATGATTTCCAATAGAGATGAAACTATTATAATTTAATCCTACACCAAACAGTTTACCCATAAATCTCTCCACTCTCCTCATCTCTTTATTTTTTGTATTTCTAATCTAACCTCTTGCCATTTTTTTCTTCTATCTCCTTGCCAATATCTGTGCCCAGTACAATGACTCTGTCAAACAATAAAAGAGAACGTGTTCCTCTTCCACGTCAAAATTGTCTTCACTGTCCTTAGCAACTTAAAACATAACTATTCTAAATGTCTAGTACGCATTTGGGAGCCAAGAGGAGCTGGAGTTAGTACCATCAAAAATCACTGTGTGCGCTGTGTCCCGTTCATGAATTCTGACACTAAGTAACCATATAAGTAATTTTATCACCAAGCCTTGAAGCTCTCTTTCCAACTGCTTTTTCTCTCTGGACAGAAGTTTTATGACTATAAATAAAGCTAATCATTTGAAAACAGATTCCGGGTTAATAACAACCCTCACTTTTCTTCAGACACATTTTAAACATTTCCAGAGGAAAAAACAAATGAACAGCATCAGTTCCGTTAATTCAACAAAAATCCATGAAATCCAATATTCAGTGTCACATACACTGTTGAGCACTTTGACCCTAAATGAGAAACGCTCACAGAGCAAGTATCAGCCACGTGAACAGTGCCTTTTTGTTAGCACAGCTTTGTTTAAACAGGGACTTCTGCTCCCAGGCTCGAACAGCGTCACCAGCAAATCCCCATCAATCACCACTGCTAATGAAAAAAACACGTTGCGGTTTTATTAAGTGGAGAATCATTTTATTTTCCCCTCTTCAGCATCTAAGTGGGAACACAAGGCAGGCACCCGTTCTCATATGAATGTGGTCACATTTCTTCCGATCTTACTGGTCACAACTCTAAATCACTTTTGCTTTGTTTGTTTATTGTTAAAAGATACATAACGGAAAACTCTGCTCTCTTAAGCATTTGGTACAGAATTGCTAAGCACACGGGTGCACGTCCTACAAATCGGATCTGCCTGGCATTACTGACAGTTTGTATCCATTCAACAGCAACACTCTGGGGGTTTTTTCCAAATCCTTTAGTTGCTAGTTCTTAATGACATCTCAATCACAGGAAAATACAACTTTTTACAAAGTGCATAAACAAGCTCACTCTTACTATTGGCGTAGTTTGCGATTGTTAGAAAATGCCTTTCACTTCCCTTATTCTGTACTGTTAAACAATTAAAGGCTTTGCTTTACCATGGCAAAACTAATAGTACATACATGAAAAAGCCTTAGCAGATGATCCTTTCCGTGGGGGAAAACAGAGAGAGTTGCAGCAGCAAATATCTTATGAAAATTACCTGTTTCCAGAATCTTCGAATCGCCTCTAACTCTGTGAGAGAACAGCCTTACGGGATGATGTCCAGCTGAAACAATTTCAACCAATACAAAACTAAGCAAGTATGTGCCAAGGAGGTACGTGGGGGATCAACAAGGACTTTTTTGTTTGATTCCTAGCAAATTATTTCACTTCTATCAGCTTGTTTCGATTAGAAATCGCAGAAGAAAATAATGGATTCTTCTGATCAAGACTGACAGTTACAAGTATTCTTTTATTTTCTACGTTCAGAGGAAGTACCTGGAACATACTGCTCTAGGAAAAACTTAACTGGGCATCAAGGCTGTTACCCATTCATGTGGTTTTAACATGCAAAACAAGACTAGAACACAAACAAAATCCCTCATCAGCAATCTATTGGGGCAGGGGCGGTGGGGGGGCACCCATTGTGACTTTCTAACTCCAGATTGAGAAGCAGAGCAGGAAATTTGGAACCCAAATTCTGCCTTTAGAAGAACTGGTTGCAAATACCCTCCAGGTCACATTCTGTACCAGACAGTGTGTAGTAATGATTAGATAATAAGAGAAGCCTGTTTTTCAGGCTTAAGGTAATAAGACACGCTCTTTGCCCCAAGACTTTCCAGCCAAAAGCCTTCTAGGGGCACAGTGGTGTTAAAAACCTGCATTTTCCAGTTGAAGCAAGAATCTAATGTGGCCAAGGCAGTTGGGAGAGAACTCATTCTTTAGATCCAGTTGCCTGGATGTTTGATCATATTCTTCATCCCTTCACAATCACCAGGTGAAATCTGACTTCCCTCCCTGCCTTCAGCAAGATTTATCGGGTTGGCTTAATTCGCATCAAACTAACTGGTGTGATGTTTCCTCTTGGTGATTTTCTGTCCGCTGATGCTGATCCAGGCCCAGTTTTGCCTTTGGTCCCCACTGCTGAGGACTGCACCCAGAACTGCACCCAGTTCTATGTATTTCTTCTGCTATTGCTACAGCTCCTGGATAAAATTTGTCTTATTTACTGTCCAGTGCTGGTTTCTCCTCCGTGAACAATAGGAATTTAAATTTCTTCAGATGGTCCCAACTCTTCCCTTCCTCCATCTGACACAACATTGTTTTGAATACAGGTATCTTGAGCTGGGTGCGGTGGTGCTTGCCTTTAATCCCAGCACTCAGGAGGCAGAAGCAGGTAGATCTCTGTGAGTCTGTGAGATCAAAACCAACCTGGTCTACATGTTGTGTTCCAGACAAGCTGGGACTACAGGGAGACCCTGTCTCAAAAAGACCAAAAACGAAAAAAAAAAGTCTCTATTTAATTTTATGAAAGAAAATAATGAACTCCTTTTTTTCTCACAGAGAAAAGATCTTATCTCTTTCTAATGTTCCAAAAATAACCTGGAAATCCAGTAAAATGATGAGATTTTTCCCATAATCCATTTACCTATGCATTTTTTTCAATTACATAATAAGTATGAAGAGACAATGAGATATTCAGAATATCTGTCAGATGTGAGAATTCACCCTGGGTTAGTGGACATGTTCATAAACTCCTTTAGCTTGTTTTTTTTTATTGTTATACTGTGTCTACCTTGCAAGGCTGTTTTAAACACTGAGTTATAAAATCTACATCAGCCCCTTTCACATGGTGTTGGAATGAAACAGTCCCTCTGTCAATGGTGCTGATTATTATTTGTTCATTCCACAAATATTTGCTAAGGCTTTACTAAATTCCAAGCACAGTAGTAGGTGTAAGGAATATGAAGATGTGTTTGCTCTCGAGAGGTCTCGGAAGCTATTGGGAGAGTTAGATAATTCACTGGTAACAGTGACTGCCATAACAGATGATGGAGGTTAAAAAGGGGGAAAGAAAAGATTAATGAAAATCATTTTCCTGTCTGTTTCTTTGTGGTGTCATCCGAGTGCAGTATAATAATTTAAGCACTTGAGTTTTAAAATAGACACAACTTGAAAACTCCGTTTTTAAATTAGCTGCATGCTTTTATATATAAGCTACTCCATGTGTCCATTTACAGATGAAGACAGCTTTTACCTTGGTCAAAACCTAGGTAGGAAAATAGAGCTCATGACAGATACCAGAGGCATTTGGTATGGGGAAACAGTTGTGGAAACATATGAAGAATTGGAAAGCCAAAGGTTCACAAAAGTGGGGAGTCAGGCCCACACCAAAAGCTGCATCAGAGAAAGAGCTGAGGTGCAAGGGCTCGAGTCCTCCAGGACGTAAAGCCATTGTCAGAAGCCAGGAAGGCCTTGTTTTGTTTCCCTTCTCCACAATCCCACTGTCACACCAACATGTTCCCTTAGCACAACCTACAGGAGTAGAGGGAACCTAGGAAACAATCTCCAGACATCGCTCTGCAATACAAAGTACATCAGAAGATGGGGAGAGAGTGGATGTGAGACTATGTGAACAAGGCAGCCACAACTTCACAGCAGAGTCATTCAACAAAGGGTAGCTGCTTATGTTATTGGACAGTATGCTTTTAAGTCTTCAATGCTCTGTTTACACAAATCAGGGGACTTAGGTCCCTGTGTATTTCAGCAGCTTTCCACTTCACATGCATACCACCTCTGGGTCCTAAATGGCTTCTCCACTGTTGTCATAAAACACTCTGACCAAAAACAAGTTGGGGAGGAAAGGGTTTGCTGCACCTTACACTTCCAAGAGACAGTCCACCTTGGAGGGAAGTCAGGCAGAATCCCAGGGCAGGAACCTGGAGGCAGGAACTGAGCACAGACCACAGAAGAACGTTGCTTGCTGGCTTGCTTCTTTTGAAAGTCTGCTTTCTTATGCAACCTAGGGCTGCCTGCCCAGGGGTGGAACCACTCACGGTGGACTGGGCCCGCCCACATCACTCAACAATCAAGAAAGTGCCTCACAGACATTCCCATAGGTCACGCTATAAAGGAAATTCCTGAACTGAGGTTCCCTCTTCCCTGGTGTGTCAAATTGATGACTGAGGCCAACCACGACACTCTGTGACACCAGCGTGAGATACCCACACAAGTCAACTGCTTTTTTAACTGACTTGGTGATATAAACTCATCACTTTTGCATCATGCAAACACAACCATAGCCACCAGATTATCACAGAACATGCTCTGTCCAGTTTGCTTATTGAGGTTATGTGCATGGTGATACATGTGTGTTCTTGGTCACCATTCAGTGTTTCCTTAGAATAATCAGATTTAAAAACATATGTAGGGGCTGGGGAGATGGCTCAGCGGTTAAGAACACTGACTGTTCTTACAGAAGAACTCATCACTTTTGCATCATGCAAACACAACCATAGCCACCAGATTATCACAGAACATGCTCTGTCCAGTTTGCTTATTGAGGTTATGTGCATGGTGATACATGTGTGTTCTTGGTCACCATTCAGTGTTTCCTTAGAATAATCAGATTTAAAAACATATGTAGGGGCTGGGGAGATGGCTCAGCGGTTAAGAACACTGACTGTTCTTACAGAAGACCCGTGTTC